TACGATTAGTAGTTACTAGTACAAACAGTCGCCCGTGAGGTGGCGTGTCTGCTAGTGTAGATAACCGCCATTTGCCGGTGCTGAAAGTATTTTTAGTAGTTACTTAACTTCATGAACAAAATTACATTTTTATAAGAGTTAAAAACAACTAGAACGCAAGAATGTCACATTAAAATGTATTTGATGTTCCGTTTTTAAACCTCATATCAACAGTTTTTATTTATCTAAAATTATATTCATCTCGAAGCAAAATTAGAATACGACTATATAATATAGAAATACAAATATACAGTCGTGATATATTCATATCGTCAATATTTTAATTTCGGATTGAAGTTTGTTACGACATTGAAGAGAAGAAAAAAACATGAAACTTTATTTTTTCCCATGTCTATCCTCTCCTATGTACCCTTCCACAACAAACGTTTATACATCATGTAAGTGATTAACAAACTAATCCAAAACTGTGAAGTTTCAGCTAGTTACGAAAACTAGTCAAAGTAGGAAAAGGTTTAGTTTATTCAAAACTTAAGTTATTAAAATTTCAACATTCTTGTAATGAGTGCTAAATAATGTTTTTTAAATCCTTTGAGGTAAACAAAAGTGGTTTAGTTTGTTTTGAATTTCGCGCAAAGCTACACGAGGGGTATCTACACTAGCCGTCCCTAATTTAGCAGTGTAAGACCAGAGGGAAGGAAGCTAGTCAACACCACTCACCACCAACTCCTCGGCTACTCATTTACTAACGAATAGTGGGATTGAGCGTCACCTTATAACGCCCCCACGGCTTAAAGGGCGAGCATGTTCGGTGTGAGTGGGTTTCGAACCCGCAACCTTCTGACTGCGAGTCGAGCGCCCTAACTACCAGGCCAAATAGAAGTGTATATAAAAAATATAATTCATTCATCTTAACACCGTTAGATGGAGCTTTTTATTACACGCCGTGAGTACACATGAACGCTAATGTTTATTATATTTTAATGGAAAATTAAACTATTTGAACTTTGAAGTATACTTTTCCTGGATTAATAACAGTTGCTGATTAATAAAGGCATATTTTACTTCAGTAATGTAGAAAACGCAAAACACAAACTGTATTTCATATTTCAGGTTGTTTTAGAAAATATTTCTATAAAGATAGGTGGCGCTTGAGTCTTTTGTTTGAGTAAGCTATTCTATTACACATCCTTTATAATATATTATAATGCGTCTGTCTGTAAGAGACATTTTATTTGGGGAGGTTGTTTGTTTCCGAAAGGTGCTCCAGGGGAGTTGCCCCTCAGGCGGTGAGAAATGAACCATCTCTCTTAACCCATTTGGGGAAGCTAGGCTTCTTATACTCGCCTCCCCTACCTACAAACTTGGAAGTACTTAACTCGTTATTTAATATTACTTTCTAGTCCTTTACTGAAAATCTCACATAATTTTCACTGCTATATCATTTCAACTGCTTCAGTAAGTCCTGTTTTCATACAGAAACTGGCTCGATAAAACATGTTGTCGGTAGCGCCCCCCCCCCTTTAGTAGCTCAACAGTAGATCTGAAGAGTTATAACGCTAAAAATCGTGTTTCGATACCTGTGGTGGGCACAGATAGCCCATTATTTATCTTTGCGCTTAAGAACAAGCAAGCATATTGGTAGCGCCACCTGGTAGTTTTTTAATAAGTTTTATTGTAATTTGTTTTATTTATTATTAATATTTTGTTCTTTGAATGTAGTATATACATGACTCTTTTTCTATATGTTTAAATATTGTGTGACTATTTAATTATTAGATAGGTGGGTACAAATCGCTCTGGTGTCAAGTTGGAGAACTACTGCATGTACTACAGAGTTCCAATTGTTGGAATGTCTAGGTGATGTTCGTGTTGGGTTGCCATAGAAAGTTGAAATAAATACGTTGGGTGACTTGAATCTATCAGACCTTTAGCCTTACTGAAATACATGATGGCCCTGTATAAACCTAAAAAAAAACATATATTACATTTTCTCATTACACTCATCAAGTTAACCATTTTCCCAGTATATCTCATTTCAGCTTTGTCCCCCGGTGGAACAGCGGTAAGTTTACGGACTTACAACGCTAGAATCTAGAGTTCGATTCTCCGCGGTAGACACAACAAATGGCTTACTGTGGCTTTGCTCTAAAAAACAAACAAACAAACAATCTTTTTTTCAGCTTGTATCTTTTCAGGTTGGACTTTTTTTCCGCCCGACCAGTGAAAGTTTTTCTCCCGTTTAACCCCCCCCCCCCACCATATAATCTAAATCTATAGTTTTAGAAATCTTTACCACCCTGGTTAAAAGCCGTTTGTGTTATTTTTTTTAAAAGTATTACTATTACCCACAACAAAAGTAACCACATGTGGGGTGAAGGAGAATTCTTAACTTTGTGACCACCAGGGCTTTTCACTCGCATATCTGTCAAGTTCGCCCGGTTGATATACAAGAGCCACCATATAGGTACAGTAAAATAACCGTGAAGTTCATGTTATGAATCATTGAAAGGACTAGGGCTTGAACCCAGGACTATCCAACTGAGCTATCCAAAGCGTACTCGTCTCCCTCTGGTGGTAAATCAACCCACTAAACACACAACAACACAAAGTAGTTAAATAACGAGCTTCTAGTTTCTATCAGAGAAACCACAGAGAGGCTGTGTAATTTATTAATAAATTACCTACACGAAGAGAAGGCCATCTTACAAACATTTGAATGCTTGTCACGAAATCCCCATTTGTGATAAATCTCAGTTTGAGCGGCATAGAAATAGAGGGAAAGTCTGGAAAGATTGAATAATCCTTAGTTAAAGGTAATAACGAATTAATTTCTTTCAAAATGCCTGAAAGCTCTCAGACAAATTGAAAAAAAAAACAACAACAAAAACTAACCTATGTATTGAAAGTTGTTGTTCAATATATTAGTGAAGCTCCTCAGTGGCACAGCGGTATGTCTGCGGACTTACAACGCTAGAATCCGGGTTTCGATACCCGTGGTGGGCAGAGCACAGATAGCCCATTGTGTAGCTTTGTGCTTAATTACAAACAAACAATATTAGTGAAACTCAGTTGAAACGGACACATCATCCTACCGATACATTCCTTACCTTGTTTTTGATATTTTTGGCCCGGTCAGCGTACACGAGTGTGTTACGTGATTCATCAAAGTGGACAGCAGCTGGACTGATGTGGGCGATCATGACGGTGTAGCAGTTTCCGCAAAGAGGTTCCTTTAAGAGTCTGGTCAGTTTACTGTCCCGAAAATTGATGTATTTGGCCCCACGAACCGCTAGAGACACGTGAAGCGTTTGTTTACAGGAATCAACACCAGCGATTGCTATTAAACCCAAACTAATGCATCGTCTAATCGTCATGATCTCATAGTAAAACAACAAAAATTGTCTGCACCTTAATTCAGCTTCTTGGCATTACAAGACTGTTATGTGCGGAAATCCGTTTAATGCTAATGTAAGCAGGGTCGTCATTAATTCCATTAGAAATAACTACATATGATAAGCTGCTTCTGCATTCTTACATAAAAGTACCTGGAAATACTTTTTATAAAATCAATAAATTAATTATTGGCCTATTGCAAAAGATCAACATTTTTATATACATATTGACTCAACACGTTTATACATAAATATGGTGTAACGTAATGACTCAACACATTTAAACATAAATATGGTGTGAACGTAATGACTCAACACGTTTAAACATAAATATGGTGTGAACGTAATGACTCAACACGTGTAAACATAACTACGGTGTAAACGTAATGACTCAACACGTGTAAAGAAAAATATGGTGTAAACGTAATGACTCAACACATTTAAACATAAATATGGTGTGAACGTAATGACTCAACACGTGTAAACATAAATATGGTGTGAACGTAATGACTCAACACGTGGAAACATAACTACGGTGTAAACGTAATGACTCAACACGTGTAAAGAAAAATATGGTGTAAACGTAATGACTCAACACATTTTAAACATAAATATGGTGTGAACGTAATGACTCAACACGTTTATACATAAATATGGTGTGAACGTAATGACTCAACACATTTAGATATAAATAAGTTGTAAACGTAATGACTCAACACGTGTAAACATAAATATGGGTGTAAACGTAATGACTCAACACATTTAAACATAAATATGGTGTAAACGTAATGACTAAACACATTTAAACATAAATATGGTGTGTGAACGTAATGACTGAACACATTTAAACATAAATATGGGTGTAAACGTAATGACTCAACACATTTAAACATATATATGGTGTAAACATAATGACTAAACACATTTAAACATAAATATGGGTGTAAACGTAATGACTCAACACATTTAAACATAAATATGGTGTAAACGTAATGACTCAACACGTGTAAACATAAATATGGTGTGTGAACGTAATGACTCAACACATTTAAACATAAATATGGGTGTAAACGTAATGACTCAACACGTGTAAACATAAATATGGTATGTGAACGTAATGACTCAATACGTTTATACATAAATATGGTGTGAACGTAATGAATCAACACATTTATAATTATGATTATTGAATTGTTTTGCCATTTATGTTTCCCCATGACTCCAGAATATCATTGGTCAGGTGTTTATTATTGGTCAGAATGTTATACCAGAATAAATCTACAACTCGATCGACAGCATACCAAACATTTTAAGTAATCCAGTTCCTCCCAAACAGTTTATGTTAGCACGGATGGAATTTAAGGATACATTTCTACTGTATACAAGTTTAGAGATATATAACTGACTCAAAATAAAAGGGCTATTCTACAAAGGCAGAAGTTCGCGTTCGGCAAGGTAAGTACGGGGGACGGTAAAAATAATATAACTATAGGGAATAAATGTTCTTTCTGTAGACACTCTCTATCCGGGTAAAATTCTGTAAA